ATGGGGGGCCACCACCCTCAGGGACATCCCAGAGGGCTCTGCAGAACCCTGAGGGCCAGGAATGGGAGAGGAGGCATTCCCAGGTGTCCACAGCACAGTGGCCAGGCTGCCTCTCCTGGGAGCCTTGCCCCTTTTCCTGGCTCAGGACAGACCTCTGGAACCCCTGGCAGCCCGGGGTGCAGCGTGGGCCCTGTCTGTCCCTCTGTCCCCAGGGCCAGCACAAGTCAGGGCTCTGGGGCTCTGCTTTTGGGGCAGCTGGCTGGAATGAGTTCTCCCCAGGGAGGGAAGAAGGGTCTTTCTGATCCCAGCTCTGTGAAAGCATCTGGTTTTCCTCCCAGCTGCTCTCCCCACACTCCCATTCCCCATTTCCCTAGACCATTGAGCCTCTCCAGTCCCTCCTGGCATGCTGTGCTTCCCTCCTCCCCTTTCCTGGGCTTCTCTGCATCCTCTGCCCTGCTCTGCTCTGTCACAGCCCCTCTGCCTCCCCTCCCAGAGCTGCTCCAGCACTTCCCCTCCCTTCCAAGACTTCTCCTGTGCTGCATCATCCATCCCTGCTCTCCCTGCACTGACGCAAGTGGAAGACACAGGAAAACCAAACCACGCTGGGGATAAAAACCAGGCTGGCATAAAAAACGTGTTGAGGGCTGGCTCAGCCTCTGCTGGGAGCTCCCAGGCTTGCAGAGGGTGAGGGAACCTCTGCCCGTCTCCTGCAGCAGATGGAAGCGCTGCTGGCTGAGGCTGCTGCTTTTGTGTTGTCCCCAAAGTGCCCCAGAGCTGTGCTGGAATCCCCCAGTATGGTTTGGAGGAGCTCTGTGACAGGATGAGCTCCTGCCCTCGGTGGGGAGAGAGGGAGACAGGAGTAATTAGCAGCAGCACCAATTTGTGCCTCTTCCCTGAGGAGCCAACCTGGTATCTCTGAAGGTGTCATGGTGGAAAACCCCAATGGTGCCCCCCCAAGAAACCAAAGGGATCCAACTTTTCCTGCCCTGGGTTCATCCCTGAGGAGGAAAACACCCTGAGGCTGCTGATGAGGGAGCGCCAGAAAGAGGCAAAGCTGCAGGAAAGGGGGGAGTCAGGAGGATGTGAGGGCTGTGAAGGCAGCCACTTCCCTGCCTGGGAAGCACAGTCTGGTGGCCTGGAATAACCAAGATGGGCCAAAGCTCAGGAAAACACAGCAGCTGCACAGAGCTTTACTGGGTGTGACCAGGACACCCTGATACCAGAGAGAGCGTGGCCATCCTCTTCATTCCTGGGAATGTTGTCACATTCCAGGGCCTCAGAGGCACAAAAGTGCATTTTGGGTGGAGGAGGGATCAGAAATCCCAAGCACCCTTTGTGCACCCCGAGGTGGAGACCTGCCTCCTCCCCACCCCACAAAACTGGGGAAAATCCACGGACAGAATTCCCACCGAGGAGGGATTTGTGCTTGCCTGGTGGCACACTGGAGTCCCTGTGCCACCAGCATGTGCTGGGAATTAGGCCATGGGGTCGTGTTTTCCCTCAGTCCCAGCTATTCAGGAACTGCACCCTGCCCCGTTCCGGGCTCATGGCACAGAATCCGCTCTGCCAGCGAGGGGACAACGCTGGAAAAAGGCTCCAGTGCCAGGAGCAGACAATGGGTAGAGCAGAATAAAAGACCCTGAACACAGCGTTCCTGCTTGATCCTGCCATTCCCAAGCTGCTGCTGGCACCAGGACATCTCCGTAGCTTTGTTCCCTGCAGAGGTGGATTTTATTTCAGTCCTGCCAGTCCCCTCTGCGGGCCCGGCAAAGCTCCCTCTGCCCCAGGAAGAGGGGATGGCTCCCATCCACTCCCCTGGGAGCAGAGCAGCAGGGCCTCTCTGAAAGAGGAAAGGACGTCCAGGAGGAAAGCTGGTGAGGAAAGGATGGCAATAATTCCATGTGGACATGAGGGGAAAGACCACAGAACATGACCTCAAAGTGCCCAAGGCTTTGCGTGGCCACTGGAGCATCCTGTGGTCCTGACAGGAAAACCTGATGGATTCTCTTGGGTTCAGATTCCGTTCTCTGCTTGCCCAGAGTAGGGATGGAAACGGAGCCCTTGTGCCTCTGGTTGTGTATCTCATGTAGGAGAGAGAATTGAGGCGATTCCCCAGGAAACAGGGCACTGGTGCATGGCCAGCTCCGAGGATGTGCCCTGCCCAGCTGTGCTCCCGTGCTGCCCGTGCCCCTGCCATGTCCCCTGGGCTGCTTTTGTGCTGCTGCTGCTGCTTCTTGTCCCTGCCGTGTGAGCATGGCTGTCCCCGCGCCGCGAGCAGGGCCAGCAACCTGAGGGATGGATCCCGGTGTGGATCCGTGGGGGTGTCTCTGTGCATGTGTCCATGTCTGTGTGTTCATGTGTGTATCCGTGTGTGTATCCATGGGTGTGTATTCATGTGTGTTTCCATGTGTGTGTGTGTCCATGTGTGTGTATCCATGTGTGTATCCGTGTGTGTGTCCATGTGTGTCTATCCATGTGTGTCCATGTGTCCATGTGTGTCTATCCATGTGTGTGTACCCATGTGTGTGTCCATGTGTGTCTATCCATGTGTGTGTACCCATGTGTGTGTATCCACGTGTGTGTATCCATGTGTGTATCCATGTATGTGTGCCCATGTGTGTGTGTCCGTGTGTGTGTCCATGTGTATATCCCTGAGTGTATCCATGTGTGTCCATGTGTTTGTATCCATGTGTGTGTCCATGTGTGTATCCCTGTGTGTGTGCACAGCCCCAACCCCTCCATGTGCCCGAGTTTCTGGTGTCACCACCCAGGTGGCTCCCAGTGTCCCCGTGTGAATCCCACTAGGGCCACTGGGCTCCAGGGAGGATCAGGATGAAGCTGCAGCAAGGAGCAAGGGAGGAGCAGTGGTGTCTAAGCAGCCTCAGGAGGCTGGAGCAGGGCCAGGAGAGGCCAAGGAGGCAGTGGGGACCAGGGGACAGGGTGGCACAGGCTGCAGGGGGTGTGGAGGCCGGGGCTGTGCACTGATGTGATGCTGTCGTCCTTTTTCTGCCCCTCATCAGAGTCCCCTGAGCGGAGCAGGCTGTGAAGGGGGGCTGCCATCAGGTATGTCCGTGTGGCTCCTGCCAGGATGTCCCAGCTGCCAGGGGGAGCTCCCGTGGGTGCCAGGGATGCAGTGTGGGCACAGGCCCCAGCCCCCAGCTGAGGGTTTGGGGAGCATCACTGGGGGCTGGTTTAGGGCAAGATGTGCTCACACCATGGTTGGCTGCTGACTTCACCCCTTTGTCCATGCCGGTGTCAAGCATTCCCAGCATTGTCTGGAGCCTGCTCCTGCATCCTGTGTGTGAAAGCTGTGCCAGGGTGACTTGGGTGTGTGGCAGTCCCAAACTGGTGGCAGGAGGGAGTGTTGGCCAGGGCAGAAATGCCACCGTGGTGCTCTGGTTTGCTTCTTCCCCGGGCTCAGAGAGTGCCTGTGCGTCTCCCCTGCTTTTGGGATGAGGGAATTGTGTGGGCCAATGTGTGTCCCATGTGAAGGGGGTGCTCCACATGTCTCAAGTCCCCAGAGCTCCTCAGCATCTCCCTCCATCAGTCTGTCAATGCAGAGAGCTCCACAGTGGTGGAGACATGGAGAGGATTTCTGGGAACCACAGGGACACCTGGAAGTCTGAGCAGCCTCCAGGTCATGAGCAGCACCTGTTTCCACCCCAGCATCAGCACCAGGCTGGATCTGCTTGTGGCAGCAGGCAGTCACGTGTCCTGGGGCACTCTGTGATGTCCCAAATTTGGGCAGAAATCAAGGAATGGCTCGTGACTGGGATGGCTCTGGGAGGGACACTCAGCTCTGCATGGAAAGTGCCAAATTCCAACCTCAGAAGCCTCGTGACAGGTGCTGCCTGTGCCAAGGACACCTGATCAAGGCTCAGGGACACCTGGGGCAGGGGGTGGCTGGTGTGTGAGGACACCAGTATGTGAACTGGTCTAACTGGTGCTCATTGTCCGGCTGTGCCAGGAGCAGGGAGCTGTGGTGCCCTGTGGTGCCCTGGGGTGTTGGGCTCCCTCGGAGGCAGGGGTTTGGTGCACAGGGCACCCCTGGCATCTCCACGGGGCACCCCACGGCATCTCCAGCCTCTCTCGGGGTGGGCATGGCTTTGCCTCCATGTGCTTGGGGGTTGCAGGCTCCACAGGAGACCAGGACTTCTGGCTGGAGGGTGCCAGGGGAGGCTGGAATGTGGCCTGGAATGCCTGGTGGGAGCAGGGCAGGGATGCCCAAGGATGCTGCCCAGGACACACAGCTGTGCCTCGGGGCTGAGTCCAGAGCAGTTCTGTCTCTGCACAGTGATGCCATGGGATGCCATTGGTGGTGCCCAATGGGAATTCCTGGAGCTTAGCAGGTTCCAGGTGGTACCTCACCTTCTGGGATCACAAGCCTGGTGTGGCAGTGTGTGTTCTGCTCTGCAAATCGAAACTGTGGAGCCTCCCTGTGCAATCCTGGTCTCCTGAGGGGCTCGGGGAGCTCTGCCCTGTGCTCTGCCTCCTGTTTCTCTGTTTCTCTGTGGCTTTGGGTTTCCCTCCCTGCTCTGCTTTGCTCCCGTTTTTTTGTCTGTGGGTCCAGCTCCTGGGTGTCCACATGTCCAGTTCCTGGGGTGTCCATTGGTCCACCTCCTGGGTGTCCATGGGTCTGGCTCCCAGGGTATCCATGGGTTCAGCTCCTGGGGTGTCCGTGGGTCTGTCTCCCAGGGTGTCCATGAGTCCAGCTGTCCCTCCCAGCACGGGTAGGACGGAGATGTCCAGTCCTTGCTGCTCATCCCTGCATCCCGAGAGGGGGTTCCCAAGGTGGAGTTTCCAAGGCAGGGTTCCTGAGGAAGGGTTCCCAAGGCAGGATTCCCAAGGTGGGGTTCCCAAGGCAGAGTTCCTGAGGAAGGGTTCCCAGGGCAGGATTCCCAAGGTGGGTTCCCGAGGTGGGGTTCTCAAGGTCAGGTTCCTGAGGCAGGTTCCTGAGGGAGGTTCCTGGGGCTAACACTGCTGTCCCTTGTTCCCCGCAGATCTCCGGCCTCTGCCCGATGTAGCCATGACTGGGACCTGCACCCGGGAGTGCACAGAGTTCGGCCACTCCGATACCTGCTGGATGCCTGGCCAGTCCTCCCCCAGCCGCAGGCCCAAGAACGCCCTCAAACTCTCCACTTTTGTGCCTTACCAAGACAGAGGGAGTCAAGAGCAAGTCGGGAACGGCAGCCCCAGACTGTCGGAAGAGCGCAGCACCAAAATGGCCAACCTCCGCCTGCTCCCCACGTACAGTGCCTTCTCCAATAGTAGCCATGAGCCCTGCAAGGACTCTCCCATGGAGGAAATTCCTCTCACCCAGACCTCGGACTTCCAGCCAGCCACCACCCCCTCGGCCCAGACCACCAAGAGGGAGATCTACCTGTGAGGCTGGGCGTGAGGGGCAGGGAGCTGAGGCCAGAGGAACATTTTCCACTTCGATGCTTTACGGCTCCGGCCACTTCTCCAGGCAGGGGGCTCTGCGGGGAGCAGGGCAGGGCGAGGCAGGGATGAGAGGAGCGCCTTTTTAACCCCCTGTTGCCCGGGGCTGGGGGTGGGTGGGGAGGTGAAAAGCATCCCGACCCCATTGCCGAGCATCCCGAACTGCTGCCGGGGAGGGCTGGGCAGGCTCCTGGTGCGGAGGGCACGGAGAAGGGAGAGAAGGGCTTACGTACCAAAGGTCCACGCAGAGCTGGTGGAGTTCCTGGGGCATAGGACGAGGAGTGTCCCCGAGCACGGGGAGCCAGCTGCCTGTCTCTTTGCTGTAGACTCCTGTAAATACGAATCTTATAGGAATGACATTCAAGTCCTGCCTGATCGCAACTTTTTATTGTCCTTGAAACAAACAAAAAGACATTTAAAGAGAAAACAAAACAAAACAAAATGAAGAGAAAAAAAAAAAGCAGACAAAAAAAAAGAGGAAAAACAAAACAAAAAAAAAGAGAAAAAAAAAATAACAAACCACAGGGAGCAAGTTCCAGCTTTGAATGGTTTCCTGCGTGGAAGAGCCCCTGGGAGCACAGCGTCCGGCCCGCACTCGTGTTCTATATTGTAAATAGAGATGTGATCAGTCCCTGAAACAGCAGCTGGGGAGCTGGAGGAGAGGGGCAGCATCCTGGCCGGACTGTAGGGACTTTGCTGTTTTTCAGCCTGGATCTCTTTCTGAACGTTGTCACTGTGCCCACAAGCTGCAGGGTCCCTAGGGACTGCCCGGTGCCATAGGTGGGGGCTGCTTTGGGGGTGGGGGGTCCCGGTGGTGGCCCTGCGCCTGGCGGGTGGAGGAGGGGTGGGGAAGCCCCCAGACAAGGGACCGGCTGGGTCCGGGGAGGGGATGTCCCCAGGAAGGGACCGGCTGGGTCCGGAGAAGCCCTCAGTCCGCCTCTGCTGGCAGGGAGGTCGCCAGCGGCCCCGGCTCTCAGCCCATCGCCTCGGGCCTCCTCCGGGGCAGGGGATGCCCACTAGGCCAGGCTGTGCCGTGCCCTCGACCTCCGTCCCATCCGCCTGTAAAGCCACCATTGCCTTTGTGAGGAGGAGCTTTGTCTCAGGGTCACACCGGGGGCCGCCGAGCCCCTGCCCGCTGGACTCCGCTGCCCTTAGGCCCCAGGGCCACTCTCACGGGGTCCAGCTTTCTCTTCCATTGTCAAAGGTCCACCGGTCTCCCGGCAGGTTCCTGCTGCCCCGGCGTCCTCAGCTCCCGTGCAGAGTCAGAGGAGCCCCTGCCCCTCACAGGGCTTCCTGAGGGGCACCCCCGGCTCTGCCGCTGCTCCCTTGGCAGCGGGGCACAGCCCTGGTTTTGGGGTGCACCCCCGGCCGGAGGGGTCCGGGCGACTCGCGCCTCATTCCTGGGTAGCCCTTCCGCTCCGGGCCGCGGGAGGGGCCGTGCTGCACCCTTGTGCTTCCAGCTCTGGCACCTTCCCGAGGGAGCGAGGCCGGCAGGGCGGCTCTCCTGTGGCTGGCACGGGGCTCCGGGGGCACAGGGACCCCGCAGGGCTGGGGCTATGCCCTGCCATAGCTGTAGTGCCTGTCGGGACCCCCTGCCCAGCCTCTCCCCCCGCTCTGAGCAGCTCCTCTCCCCCATGGGGCGGTGGCACACACAGCCACCTCCCCTCACGGCTCCCTGAGGGCACACGGTGCCAGCCGAGCCCGGGGCACAGAGGAAGGGTGGCAAAAGGGGCCTGCTCGCACCGCTGCCTCGTGTCCCTCGTGTCCCTCATTTCCCTCATGCCCTGCCTTCCCCGGGTGGCACCGCTGCCACCCCGCACGGCCCCGGCCCCAGCTGGGAGGAGGCAGGACCCTCCTCCCGTTGCTGCTCCCGGTGGGGATCCAGCGGCCCGCACGGCCCGGGGCGCTCCCAGTGGGATCCAGCGGCCTGCCCCGCCTGGCCGGGATTTTCCCGGTGGGATCCAGTGGCCTGCCCCGCCCGGCCCGGCCGGGATTCCTGCTCTGCCCTGCGGGGCCGCGCTCCCCGCTCTGGCTGCCGGAGCAGGTGCCGCTCCTGACCTTGTTTTTATTGTAGCTCTGTAGTTTCAGGGCCAAACTGGGCAGAATGTGCAATTTGGCCGCGCTGGCCACGATCTTTGACTCCACTGCCAACTCGGCTGCTCACGCCTCCCCTGGGCCCAGGCAGTGGCAGTGTCCAGTGCCCCTCTCGGGGACCCCCGAGGAGCCACATCCGAGGGGGGCTTGTCCAAGACCACCTCATCCCGGCGGGGGGGTCCCTGCCCTGTGCTGGGGTCTCCAGAGGGATCCCGAGGCTGGAATTCCTGTGGCTGGAATTGCTGTGCTGTCTCCTGGAGCACCTGGCGAGGTCCTCAGTGCGAGCACGGTGTGGAGGGAGGGAGGGGGGAGCGCAGGGGGTCCCCAAGGATGGGGCTGGGGATGGGTTTGGGGGTGGCTGAGTTCTGTGGGGGTGCTCAGAGGGCTGGGGGGATTTAAGGGGAGCACGGTGGGGGTCAGAGTTGGGTGTCTGGGGGTGCAGAGGGCTTGGGGGTCTCAAGGCACTGGTGGGTGTGAGGGGGGCAATGGGACCGGGGCCTCAGTGGGTGCCAGGGGTGCAGGGGATGGGTGCCTGGGGAGGAGAGGGTGCCGGCCATCAGTCCTGGGAGAGGGGTTTGAGGGGATTCGTCCCGGGGGGAAGCTGCCAGTGTGGCTGGGGATCAGTCCTGGGGGAGGGCGAGGAAGAGGTGCTGTGGGAAGAAGCTCATTTGCACAATTATAAGCCAGAAGGATAAAGCCTCTGTGCGCGTGGGGGGAGGACAGCTCCCCACGGGCTCCAGTCCAGACAAGCACAGGGAGGAGGAGGAGGGTTCACTGTATCTCACACTGCACTAGGACAAGCCAGGGGGAAAACCAAAGGTGGGAGCCAGGGAGCAGGCGGGCTGCGTGGGAAGGATCTAAGCGACCCCTTTGTAGCTCTTCAGTGTTGGTTCTATTTATACGAGATTTCATTTCCTTGCTTGTGATGCCTTGTTTTTTGTACAGTTTTATGTACATGCAGGTGTAGCTTTTCTAAAGGAGAAATCCTATGGCAGAGTAAAGTCCCCCCACTATTTTTCAGATGGTGCCCTATGTCTAAGGCGACGCCTCTTGCTAAGGTTGTACTGCTCAATGTGTGATGCATTTCCCTGTGCGGGGAAGCCTTTGGGCCTTGGGCTTGGTTTTCCCCGGGCGCTGTGAGCACAATTGATTCCCTTGTAACCCTTTCTGTTCGGAGCCGTGAGCATGACACCGTCGTGATGCCCCTTTCTTTCCGTTCTCCCCTGTTCCGTTCGTTTGCTGAGCTGTCAAGATGACCGATTCCATTGTAATTAGCCCTTCCTAAAGCTTTACAATAAAAGTGTGAAAACCCGGCTGCTTCTGGACCTGGCTGCTCCTTCCCACGCCTCCCCCTGAGCGCCCTCAGGGGAAGAAAGAGCTGGCGAGGCTTTGGGATCTGCCTGCCTCCCTGCCCTGCTCTTGGCTCCCTGTTTGCCAGCCTGAGGATGTTCCTGCACAAGGACAAGGGGGATAAGCCCCCAAAGCACTGTCCCACACACCAGACTCCTTCAAGGCCAGGTTGGACAGGGTTTGGATCATCCTGCTCCAGTGGAAGGTGTCCCTGCCCATGGCAGGGGATGGAGCTGGAGGAGCTTCCAGGCCCCTTCCAACCCCAGCCATTCCATGATTCTGTGATTGATTCTATGATTGAAACCCAAATATTTCAGTGAAAAAACACCTCCAACCCCAAGGCTGCCTGCACCTGCCGCCAGCCAAGGTGGGAATCAGGGAAAATCCCATCAAAGCTCTCTGGACCCCCTCCCATCTCCACCACAGACTTGCTCCATTTCCCACCATTTCACCAGCTCCTTTCCCAGGGATGGCTGGGGGTTTTTTGGTATTTCAGACCCTTTGGAAACATCTGGGCCACTCCAAACCAGGCACATTTGTGGCTGTTCCCACCCCAGCTCCTCCAGCCCTGGCTGTGGGGTTTCCCTGCCTGCCTTTGCACAGGATCCCAATGATCCGAGAGGTTTCCTGGCTCAGGGCAGGGCTGCTCCCCTCTCTGGTGGGTTCCATACAGCTGTGGTACATCTGGGCTGTGCTGGGCTCACACACAGCCTTGCACCTTTCCCTGCTCCGCTCTGGGCTCGCTGTGCTTGGACCACCAGGCCAAGGCTCCTTCCCAGCCTGGAGGACTCCAGGAAGGAGGAGTTCCCATGGGGAGATGAAGCTCAGCCTCCCCTCTCCTTGCAGGGACTCCTTTTGAGGAGGAGGGCTCTGCAGGGCCCTCAGAGGGGATCCAAGCCCCCATTCCTGAGGGATTCCCCTCGTGCTGGGGCCTGGGGAGCTCTCAGCTGCCCCTCCCTGGGATCAGGGATGTGTCCCCAGGAACCCTTGGCAGCCCCATGCCCTTTGTTGCCATCCCAAGGAAAGAGGGTCTGGATGCTGAGGGTGGTGCCAGGCTGGCACAGCTGGCAGAGCTGCCCCAGGACAGGTGACCAAAGGGTGTTTTCCTAAGCAGACACAATCCCAGGCCCTCACTGTCTGTCCTGAACATTCCATGCCCTCACACTCCCTCCTCCTCAGCCATCCCAGGATATCCAGACCCCTCCCTGATGCCATCTGTGCCTCCTTCCCCTCTCTGCCGGCCCTGTCCCACCCATCCCACCCACTCCCTGCCCTCTTCGTTCCCTCCTGGCCTCTCCTGCCGTTCCTGTGCTCTCCCCTCACCCCACACCGGCTCTCGAGCCTTCCCCTCCTCCGGCAGAGCCCTGAGCTCGCATCCAGCCGGGCTGGAGCCCTCTGGTTTCCATGGCAGCGCACATCAATTACCGGCTGCCTGCGAGGGGCTGCGATGCTGCAGCTGCTGCGGAGGCTGCCGGCTCGGCCGGGGGCTCAGGGACCCCAGCAGCATCTTCAGGATGGGAATCAGTGCCCACAGAGTCCTGAAGGGAGTGGGCACAGGAATGGGGACAGGGATCCCACCAGATTCCCTCAGGATGGGATTGGTGCCCAGGGAGCTCTGCAGAGGGATGGGAACAGGAATGGGCACAGGGACCCAGCAGCACCCCCCCCCCCCGCCATGGGATTCAGTGCCCAGGGAGCCCTGGAGGCCTGCAGGGAAGAGGAATGGGCCAGGGACGCCAGCAGGAGAACCCTCAGGATTGATTTGGTGCCCACAGAGCCCTGGAGTGGGGTGGGAACAGGAATGGGCACAGAGATCCCACCCTCAGGATGGGAATTTGTGCCCACAGAGTCCTGGGCACAGGGACCACAGCAGCAGCACCCTCAGGATGGAATTGGTGCCCAGGGAGCCCTGCAGGGGGTTGGGAAACAGAAATGGGCACAGAGAGCCCAGCAGCAGCACCCTCACCATGAGAATTGGTCCTTAAGGAGCCTTGCAGGACTTGGGAACAGGAATGGGCCCAGGGACCCCAGCAGCAGCACCTTCAGGATGGATTTGGTGCCCAGGGAGCCCTGCAGGGGGATGGAAAATAGGAATGGGCACAGGGATCCCACCCTCAGGATTGGAATTGGAGCCCTGCAGGGGGTGGGCACAGGAATAGGCACGGGGACCCCATCAGCAGTACCCTCAGGATGGGAATTGGTCCTCAAGGAGCCCTGCAGGGGCTGGGAACAGGAATGGGCACAGGGATCCCAGCAGCACCCTCAGGGTGGGAATTGGTGCCCATGGAGCCCTGCAGGGGTTGGGAACAGGAATGGGCACAGGGATCCACCAGCAGCACCCTCAGGATGGGATTGGTGCCCACAGAGCTCTGCAGGGGGATGGGAAATAGGAATTTGCACAGGGACCCCAGCAACACCCTCAGGATGGATTCAGTGCCCACAGAGTCCTGAAGGGGGTGAGAAAACAAGAATGGGCACAGGGATCCCATGAACAGCTCTCTCAGGATGGATTTGGTGTCCCCAGAGCCCTGCAGTGGGTGAGAACAGGAATGGGAACAGGGGTCCTGTCAGCAGCACCCTCAGGATGGGTTCTGGTGCCCACAGAGCCCTGCAAGGGGTGGGAAATAGGAATGGGCACACAGGGACCCCATCAGCACCTTCAGGATGGGAATTGGTGCCCACAGAGCCCTGCAGGGGGGTGGGCACAGGAATGGGCACAGGGATCCCATTAGCAGCACACTCACCATGGGAATTGGTGCCCACAGAGCTCTGCAGTGGGTGAGAACAGGAGTGGGCACAGGAACCCCATCAGCAGCACCCTCACCATGGGATTCAGTGCCCATGGAGCCCTGCAGGGGTTGGGAACAGGAATGGGCACAGAGATCGCAGTAGCACCCTCAGGATGGGAATTGGTGCCCAGGGAGCCCTGCAGGGGTTGGGAACAGGAATGGGCGCAGGGATCCCAGCAGCAGCACCCTCAGAATGGGATTCAGTGCCCCCAGAGCCCTGCAGGGTTTGGGCACAGGGATCTTGCCCCCCAGGACTGTCCCAGCCTGGGCTCCATGGCTGGGGTGATGTGGCCTCGCTGTCCCTGCCCAGTCCCTGGGGATTCATTCCTGGTGAAGGTGGAGGAGGTGGGAGCTCCTGGCCATCCGTGAGGGGTGGGAGGTGGCTGCTGGGGACACGTGTGACAGGGCTGGGCTCAGCCAAAGCTCTGCTGTGACCTGGCTTTCCCAGGTACCTCTGGTTTGATTGGGTCCTGGCTTACAGCAGGAGCTGGGAGAGTGCCAGGCCAGGGACATCCATTTTGATGGGAAATTTAATTCCTGTGCCTCCCCAGGGCCTGACCTGCAGCCCCAGCTGTCCAACTGCCTGCACAGGCCTGGCAGGGTCGTTTCCAGGCCTTGCATGGTAATGGGGATGAGCTTTGGGATCTCTTGCTGGCTCCAGCAGTGCAGAGGCACCATTTCCTCCTGAGGGTTCTCCCAGCAGCACTTGGCTCAGCCCTGAGCACTGGGAGGTTTAAAGCTGGATGTTCAGTAGCCACAGGATCACAGAAGCACAGAAGGGTTTGGATTGGAAGGGACCTTAGAGATCACCCAGTGCCACCCCTGCCACGGCAGGGACACCTCCCACTGTCCCAGGGTGCCCTAAGCCCTGTCCAGCCTGGCCTGGGACACTGCCAGGGATCCACAGACAGCCACAGCTGCTGTGGGCATCTTATTCCATGTCCCACCTGGTCAGGGGAGGGGAAGGAGCTCTGATCCCAGCTAAATCCACATCCTTGGGTGTTCCTGGTGGCCATGAGTCCCTCCAGCCATGCTTTTGCTGTACACAGGAAACTGATTCCTTTCATCTGCTTTCATTGGGAACCTTCTGCCTTCCTGCTCTGGCACTTCCCTTCCCACCTGGAGAGAAGGGGAGAGGGCACAGGGCTGTTCATG